TCGTTCCACCTGTAGTTCCGACCTAGCATCCGGGGCTCATCTCAGGCTGTCTCTGCCCCATCACTGGGTTAGCCTTCAGTGCAGGCTGTCCTATCCTGAGTTCACTGTAGACTGCCTTCACTCCATCTTGCATCAGGGGTTCATCTCTAGCTGCCTTGGCCTCGCTCCAACCCACTTTCCAGGGCTGCTTTCCAGGGTCCCAGTGGAGCCTTCTCTGTTTCTGGAATTCCGTTCCCCAGGCTCTGTTCTGGTAGCTCTGTCCGAGACTGTGTTGGTGCAATGAGGTGCAGTGAGCCAGCCTTTGCCTCTGCTGTTGTGCCTTAGCCTATTCAATTCCTTTCTGACAATCTAGGCTCCGCCTGCCAGTATGGAATTTTATAATGATTGCCTCTTCTCCTTTCACTTTTCCGGCCTTGTTCCGAAGTGCTCGATCCCCGTACAGTGGGGTCTCTTCGGGCTTCTCCGGAACTCTCCGGTCTCTTGCACTCTTGTCTCTTGATTCTGACCAATAACACCCTCAGCTATATGTGTGTGTGCAACCGCAGCATCGTTAGCATCTCATGCTTTCATTTTAAAATAAATCACCACAAGGAAGCTTTTTCTCAGAGCAATCCTTAGGGCAAACTTAAGGTGTATTGTACCATACTGACACTTCCTATGGCAGATTTTTCCACCAAACTAAGCTGCTGGGCTTGGAGGAAACTGGTTAGGCATGTCACCATGTGATCAAGGGTGACTTTAAAAAGAGCTACAGAGTTAAATGTCTGACATGGAAGAAAATGACCCATCAAAGCCAAGACAAAACTGCTGGCCAGTACGGCAGAGTGGAAAGAAAGAAGTCATTGCTGGAAAAAAAATGTCACGGAGTGAAAATATTCTTGTGGGACCAATAAGGTGTCTGGGGCTGCATTGATCTTCACTTTGCAAAGCATGGCCAGTGGGGCAGTAAGGGCAGTATACTTGTATTCCCATTGTTCGAAGGTTCTTGCTCAGACCTAAAACCGGACTTAGCGGGCGACATCAGGGTCCACTTTGTTCATAACAGCAGGACTGGAGAACATGCTTCAGAACCACCAAAGGTGCTACATAGTGAATAGTGTTGCTGGGCTTTTCCTTTCTTGATATGGAGTTCAGTACCTGGCATTCATGGGGTAATTGTGCTGCTCTAGAATATGTGTCCCTTGGAGTTTTGTTTGTCAACTCTGGATGTTAGGCAAACAGAATTAATTGCTGTAACTGCTAAAGAATAAAAAGTAGTGTTATGTGAGTGCACTGATGATTCTGTAAGATAAAAAACTGTTGCAGGGGTAAAAGGGTTGTAGCACCTAGTATGTTGTGCAGTTAGCTGCAAAAGCAAAAAATATGATTAAAATTGAAATGATGAATTTTGGGATCACAATTTCAAGCCAAAACATCATCTCAAATCCTGCATGGAGTTGGCAACAAAGCATATAAGTAATACTGCAAACGTGTGATGAAAACATTTTGGAATCAGACAGAACAAAATTTGAGCTTTTTATTCTCACTGCAAACCACAAACCCATAACTGTGCATCACGCAGTGCAAACTGTCCCTATTGTCAAACATACAGGCAGCATTAAGTCACTAAAAAAGTGAATATACATAAATGGCTCAGTTAAAATTCTGACTGGAATCTAGAAATTGTTTTTGTCCTTTAGCAATCCTCAACCAATTTGACAGTGCTTGAGGGCAAGATATACAGTACCAAAAAGAAAGGTGGAAAGGTGCCATTATATTATACAAGTTTTTTGGCAGTATGTTGTCTCAGAATCATCAGCAACACAGAACATGTTTGTTTTAGGTATTTGCTCAAACTAAAATGCACTACTATTATCTCAAGCTTTTTCAAAGGAGAGTTTTTCTAATGGTGGAAGTATTCAGCAAAACTGAGTTTTGATGACTGTACATTTGCAGCACAGTGACCAGTATAACTACACTTGGAGAGTTCAGATGGAATTTTCAGCTCCGCAGGGAAAAGCGTAACATTTGATGATGGTCCAGGAACGCCACTTCCTGTCAGCCGTTTTCTTTAAAGGTTAAACCTGCTCTCTTGGGAATGCAGAAGGCTGACATGTACACCCCACACTTTTTTTTTGTCTGATTGCATTTAAGGGTTTTATCCTGTTTTGTAACCACACATATCAGTACTTACATTTTCCTGTCATTTTTATGCATTTATATGATGATTTTATGGACAGAATATATATATATACATTATATATATTATATATACAGTACATTATATTTACAAAGTACGTTATGTATACAGTACATACTGTATATACTGTACATTATATATACAGTACATTATAGTTTAAAAGGGCCAGAAATTCAGTATTGTATTTCATCAAAAAAGGAGTATTAAGAAAAATTCAACTAAAGCCATATATTTTTATCCTATCTTGCATTTGGTCTACTGATTAACTTCAGAAATGGTGAAAGGGTTTATTAGGCTGTAATTGCTGTAAACAACAGAACATTGTCAGTGGTATGGTGCTCTTTTTGTTCTGTTTTGCACCACAGAAAAGTGAACCTGAAATTATTTTTATTATTATTATCACAGCTTGAATTCCTCTCTTGGACTCTCACTATCATTCTCATTTCTTCTGTTTGTACAGCTGTTGAATAACTCTAAAAATGTCTCCTAGCAGATAGCTGCTGCACTGAGGCCTTCATAGTGTTTGCCTCAGCTCTGTTACAGTACGTGACTCTTGGTATGTAGCGAAAGCTTTCCCTTTAACTTGCTCACATGTCCCCGCTGAAGAATAAGCAGGCATATTTATTTTATTAAGACCTTGAAATTCCCCCTCCCCCCTCCATCTACCCTCCACCCTTTCAAAAGGAACAGTATTCTGACACTTGAGGCTGTTTGTGTGTGTGTGTGTTTATGGTTTGCAGCTGAAACAAGCCTGGGAAGAGAGAGAGAGAAAGCCATTGAGAGGGCAAATACATTCTGTGTGATGTGAAAGTGACGTCAATTGGTTGGATCACAGCCAAGAAAGAAAAAACTCCATTGTGGTGCAGGCAATTAGTATTACCCTACATGTTTCTGCACAAGCATTCTGCTTTAAAGTACACTTGGCATCTCTATAGGAATTAAAAAAAAAACACCCACTCCTGTTCTTGCTGTGTTGAGTTTAAGAACAACAGGGGACCTGATCGTTGTTGCTTGTGTGTAGGAGAGTTCTGGCACTTCAGCATTGTATTCAAAGTGTGTGGATGTGTGTGTCTGGTCTTGCAGCTGAACTCAAGCACAACAGAGCTCTGCCTTGCTGGTGAATTTCATATGAAAAGGAGGGCAGCCCAGGTACTTTCTCTTCTGTGTGTGAGTCCAGACTGTGGTAAACAAAAGTTTTTATATTGATTTCCTGACATGTCCTCATATCCAAGGGAAAAAAAATATCTTTTTAATTTTATTTTGAATGTTTCATTTATCTTTCATTTCAAAAATGAAGTAAATCTAATTACAGTACATGTCATTCTAGTTTGGATTAAAATAGTGACCTTTGCCTGATGAGGCTTTGGATCCGAGTATCCTGACTGGAAGAAGCATTATCATTCACAACATTATTCTAGTGAGAAGAATATTTACAAAACCCTGAAACACATAGTGTTTGAGTCCCAAATAATAAAAAGGAAATAAATCAAAATAAAACATGGAATCATAATCTTTTTTCATTACTTATGTAGCCACTATAATATACAGTACTTACTGTATAAGCCATTGGCAGTAAAGCTGGTAACACATACAGTACTATAGGTAAGTGGGCTGTCAGGGGAGGACAAAATACCCCACTGAGACTACCTGCAGACAACAATGTCCAGCCTCATTTCAGAGTTGTCTTCTTGTACTTTATTGTGTACTTCGTGACATATTACCTCATCGTCTTTCACACGGTAGTGTTTTTACTTTTTTGTGTTGTTTGTTACACACTGTTCTGTCTGTTCTTTCACTTATGACCGTCATTCCTTGTTAAGGATAAAAGCAGTTCTGGAGATAATTGAGATAGATGAGGAATGTGGATAACATGTGCCCTGGGTGAAATTGAACTTTTGCACACTTTAGACTCATGAAACAAGTGCACTAGGTTTTCTGTGTAGGAGGGCCATGATGTGCCTCATCTGTTGTTTTCAATGACGAATATTGCGTGTGTGTTGAAAGCACGAGTTTGCTTGCCTCTCTTTGAAGAGAGTCATATTGTGATTTGTTAACTGTAATCTCCTCAGACTTAATGTCAGGCCAGTGATGATGACTTTTCTCCCAAGTCAATCAGAGGTCATTCTTTTGCAAGTGCATGTGACTTAATCTAGTTTCCTTCTGAGGAAAATATTATTTGCAGTGACTATCTTTTATTGGATGTTTTTGGATTGAGAATCCAATGGCTTCAAAAGAAACCTTCCCCATAATAAATGTGCATTGAAATGCATTGTAATACATTATTCTTCAATAATAAACCGTGCATCATTCTTATCACACTTTATGATTTGCTTCATTTATATTTCATTTAAAATTAAACACCATCTGTGCTGTGTGAGCACCTCTTTTCTAGACAAGGTCGCATAAAAAGGTTAAAAGAATGTCTCCCCTTCTGTCAACAATGACTGTGTAGTGTCAATGTTTTACAGCAAACATCTGACATTGGGTAATGACATTCAATACCGTGATTCGCTCAAGCTCAAAGTCTGCTTGCCTTTGAAGAGCACAAGCCCAGTAATAAAAAATAAGGGGATATTTAAAAAATGAAACAAGCATTTTTATTGTATAGCTACCCAATTTCAAATTACTTGGAGAAACATCAATTACATGTTAAGACTCATCTCATATCTACTGTTTAACTCCTGTATTACATGAAAATTAATGAGAACCTGCAGGTATTGTTCTCTGATATGCAACTCTTTCAAACATCCATCCTAGATGACATTCCACATTCCCTCACAAGAGGGATGATGCCAATTAGAAGAGAGAAGCCTCTCTCTTTGCAAGTGCAGATAGTGCAGCACTGCTGTTCCACTGCCAGGATTCGATCATGCTTGCCACAGGATCAGAGCCACTGCTCCACTGCATAGAGAGAAGCAAAATCCACAACACCAAATGAATACATCTTCTGCCATGGGAGGATTCTACACTGTCTAGGTATCGTAGAGGAACAGATATTACTTCTATAATTTACTCGGTGCCACTGAGCACTGTCCTCTCCTTCTCCTCAGCAGAAACCTCTGCAACTGGAGTGTATATAATATTGTGTTGCTAACTGAATGTGCTTTTTTCTACGGATATTTCCCTAGACAGATCAGGGGCACTGGTGTCCTTGATTAGAAAATAGCTATGGAATTTGAGGGGCTATATGAGGGCACCCCCGAGTATTTTTTTCTAATTGCTTGTGTTCTGTGCTAATAGCAAATGTATTCATTAATATTAAATTCAAATTTTACTTTATCATTGCTTTGTTTAACCACAGCAGTTCTGTAAGAATGATATTAAACGTCACACGGAATGTTACTGGAAATTCTGTCATTGATTCAATTATTAACTAGCTGCTATGTTTTTTAAAAAAAGAAAAGGAGAATAAAAGCAAACTTGTAGGAGTCAGGGTTTACTTATTTTAACTGAATGTAAACATTTTGGTGATTCCATCATCCATTGTTAGAGAATGTGATCTGGTTAGTTGTCAATTTTAGTTTGCATTTTCCATCAGACATTTGATTCTGGTTTTACTTTGTAGAGTTACTTTGTAGAGCTAATAGTGATAATTCTGTATTATTTTCATCAAGAACCTACACTACCTGTAGGTTCATAAAAGCTTTTGACAATTTCAACATTTTTACCTTTAAAACTGGATTGAAATAATTGCCTTTGTTCTTTGAAATGTAGAATGACCATCTGGATGGGTTGATATCATGCTTCCTGACCGCAAAAAAAGTGTCAGCATGAGTACAAAACTAAATGGAAACAGTAAGAGTCACACATTGGAAAGTCATTGGCCTAAAAATCAAATCAAACAATAATGACACAGGGAAACACCAGTAGCCCTGCTACTCACAACTGGCAACCCCCTGAAGCTCATCAGGTGTGAGCCTGGTCAGCACCTGGATGAGAGACCTCCTGGGAAAAACTAAGGTTACTGCTGGAAGAGATGTTAGTGGGGCCAGCAGGGGCCGCTCACCCTGTGGTCTATGTGGGTCCTAATGCCTCAGTATAGTGATGGGGACACTATACCGTAAACAGGCGCCGTCCTTCCGATGAGATGTAAAACCAAGGTCCTGAGTCTCCCAGGGTGTTTCTCGAAAAGAGTAGGGATGTAACCCCAGCTTCCTGGCCAAATTTCCAATCCAGGCCTCTTAATAATCCCCGTCTATAACAATTGGCTTCATTACTCTGTTCTCTTCCCCACTAATGGCTAATGTGTGGTGAGCATTCTGGCACACAATGGCTGCCATCGCATCATACAGGTGGGGCTACACATTGGTGGAGGTGGAGGGGAGTCCCCATTACCTGTAAAGTGCTTTGGGCGGAGTGTCCAGAAAAGCGCTATATAGTGTAAGTGTAAGGAATTATTATTATTTAAACAGAAATCCACCAGTAGCAGGTCACTGGCAGGAGGAGAGCTGTAAAAGGATAGACGTAACCACTTTTTCTTGTTATTCAGGACACTAGGTGACCTTTCGGAATGTTTGTGCAGAGTTGGCATGATGCTTTCTTACGCCACCACTTTCTGTGAAACAAAAGAACATTTTGTTGATCTTGAAATGCATATTTGCAAACTCAGTTAATAAGAAGTAATATATCATGGTCTTAATCACAACTTTCTAGGTAATCTGCTCAAGACATCTTGAGAACATAAATGCTTATATTCTGATAGTAAGGAAAAAATAATTCTGAGAAGAAGTCAAAATCTAGGAGATAAAGCATGAAACTCTTAGCTGATGCACTAAGTGTCCAATGCTGAAGGGTTACATATAAACAGGTTTCGTGGTTTCCCCACATTTCTTTAAGTCAAAAGCATGTGAAGAAATCAGATGAGTTATTAATCTTTTCCTTTCTAAGCAATTCATAGAAATAGAAATTAAGATGTTGGTTAAGTAGTGTTTAGACTTTGCTCTTTGCCCTAACTTATTGCAACTCACTTGGTGTTACTCAATCTTCGTACTTGCCCTAAAGTTATAGCGAATACAAGAATTATGGATTTTATCTTATAAATGTCTACTGTAAATACCCTGTTGAATTCACTGATGCCTTCCTTTTATTATTAAAAAATCATAGCTTCAAATAATCACAAAATAATGTAATTATAATTATTTTTTGCCCTTAACATAAATGTGCATCGGTTTCCTAAAATATACAGTTATATATGGTACTGTCATACAACAGCAAAGTTGTGAATTTTCAACTATGACTCACTTGTCCAATTATCTTTAAAAATGATTCTTTGGGGGCAAAGAACTCTGGATTCTATAAATTAAACAAGGAACACTTAAGACACTTACGACTTTTTAATTTTACCTTTAATCAACAGAGATTAACATTTGAGAATGTGAAAAATATCTGCAGAACACAATTTCAGTCTTCATCACCTACCACACAATTTGCATTTTCTTTACTTAATAGATGGGTAATGCAAATAAATGTACAATTGATCAGCATCAGACTTTTCACCAGTACATTCTAAATTCTTTTTCTCAAGCTGGAAAACATGGGTGCCTTTTTTCCAGGTAGCTATAAACTCAGTGTTGTGTTAAAAACAATTTATAAAAGTTCCTTGAAAGTATGCTGGTTGTTAAAATCCATCTCAAGGTTAGATCTCATAGTGGTCATGGAATGCATGTTCTAATAGAAACAAAAGGGTTGATATGTCCATGCTATTTCAAAACTTACATGCTTTTCCTGATGTTTTTTGTTGTGGTCAAGAAAAGAAAGATATGTTTGCTCTCTCAGCAACACATTAATTAATTAAACCACTTTACGCTCTTCTAGTTGGAAACAACGTTTCTAATGTGCTTTTGCAAAAGGCTTTGTAAAGAAGCACCCAGTGACAGGTTTTTTCAATCACAGTAACCTAAACATGTCCAAACCGATCTTTTTGTGGACATACTGTAAGCAAACATAGCCAATAATACAATTTGTTACTTACAGCAAGCACTCCCTGTCAGCCATGTATGTGTAATGTGCCAAGATATCTGAAAACATAGCATCTTTTCTTCCTATCTTTCTAATAAGCAGTGCTGTTTTTTTCCCTCCTCCACAATTAGGTGACTTCCCAAATCAAATTTTTGGTGGGGATTATTTACAATGTCATCCTCTATCAATGCCATTTTGGTGGGAAAAGTCTAATCTAAACATTATATTGTACACTATGAACTGAACTAAGGACTGTCAATCAAGCTCAGTTCTGTTATTAAATTGCTCCAAGTTATTAAATTGCACAGCAGGGTTTACTACATACATCACGATATTCTGAGGCACACTGTGGTGTAAGACACCTTGGTTAACATGGTGTAACTCTCTTATTCCTAGCTACTCTTTCTCTTCTTCCTCTGTCACAGCTCTAGTGGCTGCTCTTCCTCTGCAACTGGCCGTGAAACGCGATATTCATTCTCGGTCTCTGGCCTTCTTCCTGTCCCCTCTTGCTAATAGCTGTGGGTGATTTATTTCTTCCATCTCTATCAGCGCTGGGAAAGTGCTCAGTTTCGACGTCTCTGATTTTCTTCCTGCTGTAATACAGTGGCTTTTTGTGACAAAGTGGTGCTTCTATGCAGCCCCTTCAATAACTACTGTACTGTGAGTTCTTTGGCTTCTTTCATGAAGAAACCCTGGAGGCATGTCTATACTCTCCACCATGTGTGATATCCTAGAGTTCCTAGTCACCACAGCCAGGCTTATTTCCACTCATCCTATGTTGTGTCAGATCCCATCTTCCACGCTAAATGGCCAGCAGAAAATAACTCATCTGTGGTGCCTAGCAATATTGAGTTGTCACAACATATATTTGTTTTAATCTTTTACCTGAAAGAATCAATCTTTCATACAGCATTAAAATTATTTTAAAGATTATGGCTCTATGTTTGTGTTTTACTATGTTAAATAAAATTCTTCATGGTTTAAAATAATCCAGAAAAGACCACCCAGTAAGATGAATCTGGGCCCAGTTTTGCTTGGCATGTACTGAAATATACAGAAATAAATGGAGCTGTCAAATAAATATTTATTGGAAGGTTTTCAATGCCTCATTTTTCATTGTGTTGACCTGTCAGAGATTTTCAGCTCCATATTCTAAAATTATAGTTGGAGTATATTAATAAGTAGGAGTTTAGATTTTTGTAGTACACTTGATTTAATCTGATTTCCTCTGCATCCATGAAAGCACTTCAGTTGAACATAAGAAGAAGGCAAAGCAAAAGCAGAGATTCAGTGCAAAAATCCCAGTAAAGAACTGATGGTGAGGAAGAATAAACCAGACTAAGTACAGAGTTAGCTGCATTTGTTGTATGGAGTCTTATTAGCAATGCTGTATATCCTATAAAATCTATACAATCTATCTTTTCCCTCTAGACTGCCTCTTGGCCTATCTATGTCACTTTCTTTTTTTTTTTTTTGCTTTGTGACACACAGTAAAGTCAGAATTTGGATTCTGATTTTACAGTATCTTGAGTAGCTAAGTTTGAAAATTAATGTTGCTACTCTGTGAATGTTTGATTCCACATGTTCTACATTTTTGTCATTATTGCATGCTTTTTTCCACCCTCCACTGCAATTGCACCCTTGGTTGTGATGGCTCTGAACTTTGGCTGGGATGTCACTTCCCCAGTCAGCGAGTTAATACCAAAGTATTAGGTACACTATCTCTTTATATTCAACATGTTGCATTTTTGTAGTACAAATTTAATAATAATAATAATAATAATAATGTTTCTTTATTAGCCCTATACAATTTCTTGCATTAGGAATTCGTCTTTTCGCATACCCCAGCTTTTCTCCATGGAGATTTGATTGATCTATTAAATTTTCATTATGCTATGTTATCTCTAATTACATAAGGTATATTCATATACTGTAAGAATATCATTTTAACCTCCACAATAGTACTGATCGTACTGTAAATTCCTTATTGTGTGTATGTCATGGAAGAATTGATCTTTCATAATAGATTTCACTGCTTCAAGTGGAATATACGAAGGCAAAGGGAAGAGAAATTTGCAATGCTACTAAAAGTTGATTCATGTTTGAACCTGCAAATAATCAATATGAAAAAAAAATACTGCCAGTTAAAAAATGATAAAACAGAAAAATGACCAAATCCCCCGTTTGTTAATTCATACATTTAAAGGAACAGTGCAAATTCATTCTGTACACCTAGTAAGTTCTGAACCCTGAGAGACATTCCTGTTCTTTTGTTTCAAGGATGTGTAATTATCTCCTAGCCCATAGTAGGTCTTGCAATTCAGCCAGCACTTTTAAGCCCTGTCTTAAAACTAATGTTTGCACTCCTAATTTAATTCTACTGAATTAATTTATTATATTTAAATGTATACTGATGAATGTGCATCCAAGGATATTGCTTTTGTTTTGCTTCATCGTAAAGTGTCTTAAAATGATCAACTGTATCATGAACAATTTGATATAATTTGAAATGATAATACTGTATAAATTGAAGCTTGGGTAATGACTATTTTTCTTATTATGACTACTATAATTTACTGTATTACAAACATGTAGTAAACATATTGGCAGCCTTCTGCATTCCCACAGTACGGTTTTTAGTTGTTTAAGTTAAAAACGTTACAGTACATGTTGAGTAATTTTGAAATGATCATCATGTACCGAATTTACACTAATCTGTAACCAGTGGGGGCGGTACAGTGGCACAGTGATTAGTATCACTGCCTTGAGGCACTGGAGCCCTGTTCAGTTCCTGAGATGCTATCTTTCTGAAGTTTGTATGTTCTCCTCATGTTTGATTCAGCCTCCTCTAGGTGCGCCATTTTCCATCTCCTCCCACAGTCCACAGACAAGCTGGTGGGTTAATCGGCTTCTGGGATCATTGACCCTGATGTAAGTGTTGTTTGTGTCAGTGTGTCCTGCGATGGACTGGACTGTTGAGTGTATCCCCCCTTGCAGCTTTTGCTTGCTGGGATAGGCTTGGGCTCCCCCATGAGCCTGTATTGAACAAATGGATTAGAAAATGGATGGATGAATGCAACTAGTTTATTTCTCATGTGTGGTTAAAGGGTCTGTAGAGAGCTAGAAGTAAAATCTTTACAACCCCTGACCACAGATACTGTACATTGCAATGGATTCCTACTACAACTAACAGATATATAAGATTTTATTATCTAACAATGTGACTGTTGGGAAGAATGTAGCAAGGAAACCTGAATTATAAAGCACCAAAATGCTACACAGAAATACATGATAAATGATTTAGTCACCGAACTAACGATGCTTTCAGAATATGATCCTGTGCAATAGGAGATCCCATCCCAGGGCATGTTTAACTTATATTTTTAATTTATCATAATTTCTATTTGGAGCTTATTTATATTCGAAGTGGGCAATATGATTATATCCCCTACTAGAGCTCTTGGAGCTTTGTTATGTGCAGGCGATTGAAGACTATTTCTGAGTTTCCTCTGTGTTTTACTAAAATATTTCCTTTTCTGATGTCTCTTCATATCGGCACTATTTGTTCCTGCAGTGATTTTGAGATAGACAGAATCATGGAAAAAAAAATGCAGACTGCTGGCAATTTGTCATCACTGCCAATTAATAACAATCTCCCCCGAATGTTAAGATAGGAGGAGATTGCTGACAGAAGGCTTTGAGACTATCTAATTACACCTAATCAGATACTTCCTGTTTTGGAAAAAAATAATGGAAAATGTGCCGCTTGCCGATTCAAGTGGGAATTGGGAATCTGAACTGTGCCAAGTCCTGGCCTCAGGTTCAGGGTGTCTAGAAAGAGTGTTGTAAATTATATGCTGCACATCAAAAGAACTAATAAATCTAATTCTCTTGATATGAAATAGAACAGAAGGTTTGGGTACTTTTTAAATATGCATATGGTTGTGTAGAGCTGTGTTGTTACCTCAGAGGCATTAAACTCAATATATTTATATTGTAATTTCCTTAGTCTTTTAGATTAACTATTGGATTTAAAATAAAACTTTCTCAAACTTTTCTGTCAGGTAAGATGGCTATGCCAGTGCACACAGCATGGCAGTATTTTATCAAATACTAAGGATTTGTAAACCTGGAAAGATAATAAGATATTGAATATTTAAAGACATTTTTAGGTTTTCTGTAACTTTTTGTCACTTATTTGAAACTTGCTTCATAAATGCATTGGAGAAATTCAAACTTTTGACAACTTACAAGAAAGAACGTGTATTTTAGTTTCTTGGGACATCATCTGCAACTTGTACAGTGCACAATTTAGTCAGAAATAATTTCCTAATACAGACATGGAGAAGCAGATGTATGACATATGGGCCAGTTGGATTAATAGGATCCCAGCTCAGATCTTGATCTTGTGCCCAGTTATGTTGTATTTCAGATCAGAGTTCGATGTACGTAAATACAAATCTGTTAATTTTCATTTTACTCTCAGACAAGAGTAGCCTTACTCCACTTTTCATTTGTGAATGGAAAAAGTAATTACCTGCAAAGTGTTCAGATTAGGCTTTATGTCAGAAATTCATGGACACCTTTTTTGTCACAAAATAAAATGACCTCCTGGTTTGCCATAAGTGTAGAATAACTTATTTTGGAGATAACTAATTAGTTATTTAAAGCTATTTACACTAGCCATAAGAAAAGGCTGGTGTAAATACAGTATATGGTATACTAGAATATAGAATAATACCACTAAAGCACAAATAGGTATGATTCGAGCAACATGAAAATGCTTTAGTGCAGCCAAATTTTTTACAGAATCATTTCAATATTAACCATTCAGTGTAATTATTATATATAGTATAATTATTATATTCAGTATTATTATATAAGCATCCATACGCAGTAAAATAATAAATACTACAGGATAAAAGTCTAATATTAATTACTGAAAGTGGGGGAATATATACTGCAACCTAATGTACAGTATTACAGATTACTATACTGTATCACTGAAAATAATTAAAATTAATCAATGTGTTCTTAACATTTTATTACATTATTGGATTTTGACTAGTGTATTTCCAGTTTCTGTTCAGCAAAGCAGGAGCATTACAGTCCCTTCAATATTTTTCTCACTGAACCCAGAAGTTGAACCGGCAGGGCATAGCGTCTAGGCTTTTGCGAACTAGCTACAGCAAAAAGCCATTTATGTAGCAGATCAAAATGTCCCGGCTTGTCCTGATCTGCTTATTAAAACACTCTTCTATAATCTGTCTCCCTGGAGTCATCCAATCTTGTTTTCTAGCCTTTTTATAGAACTGATTTGCTGCTTTTTTACTATAAAAGCAGCATGTGAGCCTGGAACCATAATCAGGTCCAAGCCTGAATCATGTCACTTGCCTGCTGTAACCAGGATTCCGAAGGCTGTGATGTACCACTAGTGGAATGCTGCAGCAGGGGCAGGATGGGCATCATTCAGGTTTCTCTCAGCTCTCTGAAAAATGTATTATAGAATCCAGAGGACTCCACGTGCCAGTGAACAAAGTGCCACTCGTCCATTCTACTCCAACTCTCCTGCGAGGCGCTGTGTACTGTGCAGAATGTCAAATGATGATAGGCATGTGCAAGAGACTCAAACCAATTGGAGACTTCAAATTGGGTGAGTATTAAAATAGAACACAAAAGAAAGGACAATTGTTCTGACATCTAATTCAAATTATACTGAATATTTTGTTACATAGCTTTAAATATTAACACCAACGGCCCTTGGCTTTGTTGCTATGAAGGTGCCGTGATGTTTGTTTTCTTTGTCAGATCCAATTATGCCAGATACCCAAGAGAGTACTTCCAATTCCAAAGTTTGTCTTCACTGGTTTGTCTTTGTTCAAACTTTGTCTCCTAGTGTGGCGTCACTTTCAGGAAGCTGCAAAGAAAACTTTGTAGAAAAAAAAATCATTACTTTAATATTCCATTTTGATTAATAAAATACATTAACAATAATACATTATGATTTCAGTGAAGAATAGCACTTCAGGCAGCATCTCTGACCCTCTTCAGTGTTGTGTGTGCAGTAAGCATGGGAGACTGGCAATTTACAAGCAAAATGATTAACAATTAACAATTAAACAAGTTTTAAATTTACTGGTACACTTTTTCAAACTATGCAGTTCAATTGATGGCATTCCTTCCTCTTTGCTGATTATGTCTGCTCCTCTATAAAGCTTTTTTGCCACTACAGTATATCTATTTTTTTCAACTATCCATCCATTTTCTAACCATTTCATCCAATTCAGCACCTACAGTATCACAGAGCCTATCACAGCAAGCAAAGATGGGTAAACTCTAGAAAGAACTGC